TTTTTACTGGCGATGTCAGGGACTGAATGTGGGACCTTCTTCATTCCAAGCAGAGGCTGCACCACTGAGCCATGGCCCTTCCCCTCATAGGTACCTTTCTGCTTATCACATGTTTATCGCTTCTTCTGCAATTTACAAATCAGTTATTGGAGAAGTTTCGTTACTAGGAGGCTTGGGGAGAAGACGAACAGGTCAGCTTAGTTACTGCAACACTAAGGAGGGAGTTTATATATACAAACCACAACACCATAAACTGGGATATAAACGCTCACCGAAGGTTGCCAATGAGCTTCATAGCTAAACAGTTAGTTGAAGCTGGGTATTCCTAAATTCAAGTTCAACACCTCCATCCACCACACCCAACGACCTCTCTGCACTTCTTTATCTCTACCTAGTATGTTTGTCCCTGCTCTTTCTCCAAGGAGGTTAGAGGGGTGTATAGGCCATCTGCTCCACATTTTATCCTCGCAACAACCCTGTCACACAGGCCGGAAAATGCGGGGGGGAAGCTTGGCTGTTTGCCCTGGAGCAAAGTAACGCGCGGCGGCCCGATCACATATCCCGTGGAGGTCCTGTGGGTATGCCGTTAGGTGCCGATCACACAGCTATCCTGCAGCGCGGCAAAGAGGCGGCACGGTGTGATCACACTGGCAATCGCTAGGCGCCGCTTCCGTGGCAAACGGGAATTTCCCCCCTTCACCACGGTGTGTGCATGTGCCGGTGGCTGTTTGTGCGCATCCTGTGGAGACTAAAAAAATTAAAAAACATTCGGTTTCTGACGGGACATGGGCGGGCGCCGGATGTCACAGGATTCCAGCGGAAATGCGATCAGGCACCCGCACTTGCCCCGCGGTTTCCAGAAACTAGCACATCGTATGTACTAGTTTTTTACTCCGTATCTTTGGCAAGAAGCCACGGGTTAACCATGGGTGCACTACGCTTCCCAGATGTTGCGGTGTGATCACACCTGGAAAATTCACCTATCAACCATATCTTTAGCATGGCAAATGCTCCGTGTGAACAGGACCCAAGTATAGTCTGTGAAAGAGCAGAGGTTTGAACTCAGGGCTCCCAGTCTTAGTCCAGCACCCTAGCCACTGTGCCCCACTGGTGGTTACTCTGAATGGACCTTTGACCTCTGCTTCTCTGGACATTGATAACGATCGATTGGTGACTTTTCTATGTGAATGCTCCACTGCGGATCAAAGGCCAGAGACAGAGCACTGGCATCGCTCTTTGCATCCCTTCCAGCTCTGTGCCTTTAGCTGCAACCACCAATCCCGTTTAGCTACCAGTCTCGGAATGTTGAGTTATCAACGTAACTGGCATTCAGCCAGAAATGGGGGGAACCCTCCAGGATCCCTGTCCAAATTGGCCTGGAGAAAATTGCTTCCTGACCCCAAAGTGGTGATCATCTGAAAGGATGTGGGACAGCGGAGTTCTCAGTGCATCAGTTTGGTGTAGTGGTTAAGTGTGCGGACTCTAATCTGGGAGAACTGGGTTTGATTCCCCACTCCTCCACTTGCACCTGCTGATGTGACCTTGGGTCAGTCACAAGCTCTGGCACAGCTGTCCTTGAGAAAGAGCAGTTTGTGTCAGAGTTCTCTCAGCCCCACCCACCTCACAGGGTGTCTGTGGTGGGGAGGGGAAGGGAAAGGAGTTTGTAAGCCGCTCTGAGACTCCAAGTGAAGGGCGGGGTATAAATCCAATCTCTTCTTCTTCTACTACTACTTATGTCCAGCCCGCTGGTTAAAGTCCGCCTCTCAAGCCCTGTTCTCTGGGCGACCCTGCCTTCAGAGGTGCGGTCGGGGGCAATTAGAGACAGGGTATTTTCTGTGATGGCACCTCGCCTCTGGAATGCCCTCCCCCTTGATGCTTACCTGGTGCCTACTTTGCTATATTTTTAAGGAGCCAGGCCAAAATACATGTTTTTACCCAGGCTTTTGATTAGAGGGTTCATTTTACCAACTTTTCAAATAGTCTGCTTCTGTTACAGGAATAGGTTTTTTAATGCTGTTTATGTCCAGTGGCTTGTTTTTATAGTGTTGGGGGGTTTTTTTGGGGGGGGGGCAGCATGGTATAGCCTGACCTCATCAGACCTCAGAAGTTAAGCAGGGTCAGTACTTGGAAGGGGGACCTCCAAGGAAGACTCTGCAGAGGAAGGCAATGACAAACCACCTCTGCTTCTCGCTTGCCTTGAAAGCCCCTTGCTGGGGAGCAGGAGAAAGCAGAAAAAACTAGATGGCCAGGAAGTGAAAGACACATGCAGTGACAAGTGAGTATTGCTTGACAGTGAGGTTACACAAGTGAGTGTTTTTTTGAAATTAGGATAACCAAGGTTATCGCCATCCACGGCATGCCCGCATTCTGCTGAGTCATTTCTTGTTCCCAGACTGTCTAATGTTACTTCTGCCGCACAAGACAAAATAAAGTGTGACATTAGCCATCTTCCTCTTCCACAAAGAAAATATGTTTTAGGAAGAAAAAAACTACCCATCGAAGTCAGGATGCCTTCCTTTTCTGACTTTCCCGTGTGCCAGCTTAGCTGCTGTTATGCATCAATAACTTGTGACCTAACCCAGTACCCAACATTTTTGGGGAGGTCAGACAGGTTATCTTTTTAGTGCAAGTGCCTTTGATAAGGCGGCACATATGCCATGGTTTTGCTGTCCAGTTAGTTCACAGAAAAGTAGGCCAGTCAGTTATGAAATTTACCAAACGAAAAGAATCAATTAAAAATGTGGGGTGAGGAAGACAACCAAAAACTGAGATGCTGATATTTTCCCCTACCCTGACATTTAACACCTCAAAATATAAGTACAGATTTTTACAGCATCTTGTTCATTTTCTGCACCTTTAGATTATTTCAGTGTTTTTTGGGGGGGGCTTCTGAGTGTTGCCCTTTTTTGGTTGCAGGTGTTTGCGTATGCAGTAAAGACTGGTATAGGAAAACTGTAGAGAGCATGAGCTGTGAGCCACAATGTATCTTTTTCAAGTCTCACCCCAGTCATGAATCCAGTAGTAGAACAAAATTTGAGTCCATTGGTACCTTGAAGACCAACAAGTTTAATTCTGGGGATAAGCTTTCATGTGCAGGCACATTGGAGGTCCACCCTGAACATTAAAAAGTGCCTGCACATGAAAGCTTATATCCAGAATTAAACTTGTCGGCCATAAACGTGCCACTGGACGCAAATGTTGTTCTGTTGCTTCAGACCAACACAGCTTCCCACCTGAATGAATTCAGTAGGTTTCCTTACAGCCAGAACAGCCTGTTACATGAAAGACCAGTAACTGGATTCCCCTCCCCAGCACTTCCTTGAACATTAAAAAGTAACCCTTGGACAGGGGTCTTGTTGTAGAAAAAGAGCTGCCGGAGCTCATTAGCATACCTTGAACATTAAAAAGTAACCCTGGGAAGGGCTTGGATCAGGGCTATGATGACAAGGGAGAAGAGTTAACCCCTCTCTCTGTGTCTCTCTGTGACATCTCCTGATATTTGTCTTATTTAAAATAATTAAAAGGCCTCCTTTCTTTCAGGCAATGGGGGTCCAAGGCAGGTGACAGAAATAAGAACATTTGAACCACAGAATGCAAGAACATCAAACAATTAAAGCCGTATGCAGAACTTTCACCAGCCCCTGCCCCCAGATTCCTAACAGATTGTAACAATGATCTTGTGGCCCCAAAAAGCCCGGGAAGAGTTCAGACTGAAGGCACTTACAAACAGAGGTCATTTCGGGGGGGATCGCGGGGGATCGCAGTCCCCCCGGGTGAGGTACGGGGGGGCGGGGCACATGACGAAGCCCCACCCCCCGCTTCCGGCCGCCCCGCTTCCGGCCCTCATTCAGCCAGGAGGAGGCAGGAGAAGAGGGAGGGTAAGTTGCTTCCTCCCTGCCTCTCCCCACCCCTGCCTGCCTGGGACCAGGGAGGGCCTTTGCGGGGCTTCCTTGCACTCCCGCCAGCCTTGCAGGTCCACTGCCGGGCCCCTTATGGGGCTCGGCAGTGGAGCTGCAAGGCTGGCGGCGGCGGCCGGGACCGTTGGGGGCGGGGTGTGTGGCCTTATGACACACTTCCGGTGATCGGCCGGGACCATTGGGGGCGGGGTGTGTGGCCTTATGACACACTTTCGGTGATGTCAGGGGGTGTGGCATATGCTAATGAGTTATGCTAATGAGTTCCCCTAGCTCTTTTTCTACGAAACGACCCCTGCTTACAAATATACAAGAGTGTTGAAATCTTCCTTCGTCCATCTGGGAGAAAGTCCATCCTGGTTACTGAGAAAGCCTGTGATTGGACAGTGGTGGGATGCACTCTTCCTCTCCATCCCTGATCCCCCACTAAGCTGTCATTAGCTATGCTCAGAAGCAAAAAAGATTGATTCCTGTGTTGTCTCTGTCTTTCCCCACTACTGGGGCTAATGGTTCAGGGCAGTGTTCCCTCTAAGCTGAGTTAGTGTGAGCCAGCTCACAGTTTTTTAGCCTCCAGCTCACACATTTTTGTCTTTGCTCAGGAAGGAGGGCTCCAGAGCAAACCAATTTATGCAGTAGACAAATCGCTCGCTCACAACTTTAATGCCAGGAGCTCACAAAGCAGAACTTTTGCTCACAAGACTCCACAGCTTAGAGGGAACATTGGTTCAGGGAGGCAATTATTGTCAGGGAAGTGGCACAAGGAGCAGGGGAAATGATTAGTGCCTTCCCTTCATTCGCACTGCACCTCCATTCTAATCGTGCATGAATTTGGCTGCCTTTAGTATTAAAGAAAAAAAATGAGGGGTTCAATCCTGGATCTCCTGTACAATATAGTGGGGGAGAAGGGAGAAAGAACCCAAGTCTTTAACTGAAGAAAAAACACACATGGTAGGGTTGAAAACATCAAACTACTTTTTTTTTTTTAGCAGTCCAATTGATTTCAATAGAACTGCTCCAGGAAATGCAGCCCTCTGAATGGCATTCAGGATTTCATTTCTGCCCATATTGAGCAGTAAGAAGATTCCATTCAGTGTACAAATGTTTATTGAAAGCACCATAAATGACACACAGCATTGCATCAGACAAAAACAACGCAACTCCTTTGAAAACTCACAGAAAGCCTTTTACCTCCTGCTAGAATATCAAATAGCAAACTCCATGATTCAGAACAAATGCGGCTGTTGTGAACGTGGACCAGCCCTTTATTTTTGAACTTGCGTGGATGCCTGTATAGCCACTTGCCAAGCAAACAGTAATGTCCTCATCCAGATCCCAAAAAAAATATATGGAGGGAGACCCTAAAAATGTAGCAGAAGCATTTCCGCACACTGGTTTCAATCCTCTAGTTTGTGCAGAAATGATTCCACTAGATTCATAGAGTGTTATTTGGAAAGACTGCTTCCGGGTCACTTCATAACTTTTCGGACTTTTTCCAGCTCTTCTATGGGTTTCCACTCCTGGTTGATTGTTACCAGCTACCAAATATTTGGAGACAAAAAAGACAAAAAAACAAAATATTAAAAATCACAGCCACCAAAGAATAAAATACTAAAGTGCTAGGTATATCAACACCTCCTGCCCGCTTCCAGTTTTGATTATGTATCGTATCCTTTCATTGCGTGGGAAGGTACAGTGTATTCTAATCATCCTAGGTATGATCCAGCTGAAGTTCAGCATTTCCAGGTTTTACTAAGAGGAGAGAGATTAACTCATGCTTAGAAGTGCTTTACTTTGTCTGGCTCATGGTGTAACCTTTAAAACTGCTTTATAAATTGGAGGGACAGGGCAAGCCCGTGTTTATGAATGGAGTCCTGTCTTGGTCTTCTTTGAACAGAGAAGTGACTTTGACGTTTTGTAAGTGATCAATAACCATATTTTCGCAGTGAAAACAGTCTGAACATCTCAAAATAAAAAGCCTTCATAAACCCTGTACCAAAAACACTTCCACTTGGTTCTCAAGAGCTGTGTCTGGCTCTTAAGATTTCTTTGCTGACACATACAAGGCTTTCGGAGTCAGACTACATCATCTATCAACACGCTTTAATCAGGCTTGGCTACTCTTTCTATAACCAGCTCCTTCCTCGGCTCCGCACCCCAAGTCTCCAGGTACTCCCCAACTTGGCAGCCCCACCCGTTACATGGGGTGGAAAATGAACTGCAGAATTATTTCTGGGATGCGAGTGCAACACGTTGCTAAATAGTTCCAAAACCATAGATATTTTAGTTTAATGCTGATCGGCTCCTATACATTGGTGTTCTCCCAATTACTTTATTTCTTAGCTAATATTCAGAACTGTTCGTGTCTCTGGACAAAAACACAGAAGGGCCAGTGGTGTCAGGCTAGGTGTCAGGCTAGGACCCAGGGTCAAATCTGGGTCTACCATGGAAGCTCACTGGGTGACCTTGACGCAGTCACACATTCTTAGCGTAACCTACCTCACAAGGATGTTGTTGTTGCGAGAATAAACTAGAGAACAACTCAAACTATTTCGTTCCCCACTGGGTAGAAAGGCGGGGTATAAATGAATAAATAAACCAAGGATTTATTACTCCATCATTATTGCTTTCTTGGCTAAGTGCTTCCATTACCTTCTGGGGTTTGGTAGGATCCACATGTTGCCATGGTTCTGGATTGCCCTTTTTGTTTACACTAAAAATGAAATATTATATTTATTACAGGAGATATAAAACATCCCAGTTAAAGAGCTACTTTTTTTAAAAAAAAATCCCACTTTTAATTTTTTGCAAAACTGAATATTGTATTTTGTAGCCTAATTGTAAACATATCTATTTGGAGGTAAGTGTTATTGATTTCAGTATAAGTGATTTCGAAGGAGGAGGAGATTGGATTTATACCCCGCCCTTCACTTGTAGTCTCAGACCTGCTTCCAATCTCCTTCCCTTTCTCTCCCCACAACAGACACCCTGTGAGGGAGGTGGGGCTGAGAGAGCTTTTTCAAGAACTGCTCTTGAGAGAACAGCTCTCAGATAACTTTGACTGACCCAAGGTCACCCAGCTGGCTGCATGTGGAGGCGTGAGGAATCAAATCCGGTTCTCCAGATTAGAGTCCGCCGCTCTAAACCACTACACCAAACTTAATTCCAAAAAAGCCTATTTAAACAAAAGTAAAAGAAATTACCTAACCGTCTATTGCTCTCTGAGTGAGAGACCACAAGAGGATTTCTCAACAGTATCATTTAACATTAAGACAGACACATGGATATAATGTTAAGGAACAAAGCACAAATAAAACACCTTAAAGATACTGTAGAAAAGAAAACGAAAGCCTTTGGCTGTAGAAAAGAAAATGAAAGCAGTGATTATATACTGTCAACCAGAAATATGTTTTAGTAAAATACTGCAGGCACAGTTTAGCCAACATATTCTAAAATCCCCCTGATTTCAGTGGGACAGCCTGAAATGTATTCGTCCCTCTCCCACTAAAGTCAGCGCAGGGCTAGGCTGAGTTCCTAATTTTCACTATAACACAGAAGATAAAAATATTGAAACCGTAAATGTTCCTAAAGTATATTTAAAAACTCTGTGCCGGACTCTTTCAAGGAGAATTTTAGACACCCTTAAACTCGGTTTGCATCTTGGGGAACACATCCTAGGGAGAATGTTTTGCCCCCTATTCTCACATCCATCCTGGCACTGCGTATCCAACCCCATTCCTTCTCCCCAGACTGCTTCCTAAATCCAGTCTTGTTCAGCAGCTGATTCAACACAGGCTTAAAACAACGGTTTTTGTTCTGCTTACATCACGTCGCTTTTGGTGAAGGCGTACAGGGAAGACAGCACTGCCCCGACGCCGGCCAAGCTCACAAATCCAATCAGAGGAATAAGCTGCAAGAGACAAGGAAGAGTTTCCTCAGTTGGGTGGTCTCGCCGGCGAATCCTCGGAGATGCGTTAGACCTTCCCTTAAACTAAGTCACGATCCCTCCCTCCTCGAAAGGGAAGGATGAGCGGAGCCTCCTCTCCCAGCATCTCCTTCCTCCCCCTGGCTTGCATCCTGGATGCGGTGGAAGGGCTGAGGACACACCACAGACGCCGAGCTGTCCAGCGTCGCCTCTGCACTTCTCCTTGGGGAAAGAACTTACTTCTCTCTTCTTCTTTAGCATCTGGAAGAACCCCAGATTTGCCATGGCAGAAGCAGGCGTGATTTGAACCTGGGAAGAAAAACCAGGTCCCGGAGTTACTATCGGCTGTGTGTGGCTGGAAGCATCCCCGGGAGGGGAAAGAGACCGCCCCCTTCGGACACCTCGCATCTCCATCACTCCCGCTTCCCAGGATTTACGGAGAACAACCCCCAACCCCAACCCCAACCCCAACCACCTTGCTGTCTGGACCGGCCGCGGGTTCACAAGGCGGTAGCTTCCTCTTTATATAGCCCAGCTAACGCCCAAGGGAAGGAAGAGAGGGCTGGATGTGTCTCAAGTCACGTAGCCCCGATGAGCCACCTTGCGCAGAAACCGCACCGGGGACCTGCCAATGTCTCCTGGGCAAAACGGGGCTGTGATGCCCCCTGCTGGACAGCAGGCACCGGTCAGTGCCCAGCTGCCCCCCCTCCCTTCTGATGGAGGAGGAGGAGGAGGAGGAGGAGGAGGAAGACCTTTCAGTGGGCCTTTGGTGGAGAATGAGGACGGGAAGGAAGGTCTACCTTGCAGGCTAGTGGTGCTGAATGCTGGGGAGCCTTTGGAGGTGGGATAAAATTGGCTTGTGGTTTAACCCTTGAAACACATTTTCATTTTCATGCCTCAGTTGTGGAGAGAGAGAAAATGTAATGTATCTGAGCGTGTCTGGAGCGCCTTTCCTGCACCCACATGGGATTAGATGGGCAAAGGATGCCTAGGGCAGAGATGGATTGATTGGCGGGCAGGGTTGACCCACCCACACGGTGCACCAGGGGCTTCAAGGCATTTATGAAATTCATTTTCCACCCCATGTAACAGGTGGGGCTGCCAAGTTGGGGAGTACCTGGAGACTTGGGGTGCGGAGCCGAGGAAGGGCAGGGCTTGGGGCATAACCTCATAGAGGTCTACCTTCCAAAGCAGCCACTTTCTCCAGGGGAATTGATCTCTGTCATCTGAAGATCAGATGTGAATCCTGGGAGATCCTCAGCCCCACCTGGAGGTTGGCAACCCTAATTTGATGGTCTGTCCAAAACAGCTGCCTTTCACTCAGGGTTTAGTTTCATCCATTTTAAAACCTTGAAAAGAAGCCGCTAATCATAATTAAAAAGAGTCCCTTAATGAATAATCATTTTAGTCCTAGTTTTTATCCTGCCTATGCTTCTTTTTCTAACAGCGACATGTGGGGTGATAAAACGACCCCTTTAAGGACCCCTCTTTAATGTCTAGAGAGACCTTCCTCCAAGGAGCTTAGAGGGGTGTATAGGCCATCTGCTCCACATTTTGTCCTCGCAACAACCCTGTCAGAGGTTGAAATAGTATAGTCTGTGAAAGAGCAGAGGTTTGAACTCAGGGCTCCCAGTCTTAGTCCAGCACCCTAGCCACTGTGCCCCACTGGTGGTTACTCTGAATGGAGAGGGGAGTGCTGCCTGCGGCCTTTGACCTCTGCTTCTCTGGACATTGATAACGATCGATTGGTGACTTTTCTATGTGAATGCTCCACTGCGGATCAAAGGCCAGAGACAGAGCACTGGCATCGCTCTTTGCATCCCTTCCAGCTCTGTGCCTTTAGCTGCAACCACCAATCCCGTTTAGCTACCAGTCTCGGAATGTTGAGTTATCAACGTAACTGGCATTCAGGTAAAGTGGGTTATGCTTTAGGGCATGCCACACTGATCTGTGCTCTGATGGCATCCAAGTAAAATGGCTGTAATGCGTTTTGTATGGAATTCCGTTTGAGAACGGTCTGCAAACTTCCAGGGGCAGCCAGGCTACTGTCAGAGACTGGATACAGGGATCAAATCACCCCTGAACTGGTCTGGAAGAGC